GAACCAGGAACAAAACATCACGAGTAATTTTTTAAATGGACCCAAGAAATCACTTAAATTAAGAGAAATCTAGCAATAAATTAGACTACAGGTGACAGGGCAATTAATTTTTGACTAGTAAAAAGGAATAAACTTTTTAAGCTTTTTTGGGGCTCGATATTAGCAGTTCTTATTAATAATAACAACCGGTGTAGCAACAGCTGAAATGTAATGAAAGAGAACTAAAGTGTGTCCCCTACTTTCATCCAACAGCAGGCCCTCTACACTTACCCTGGATAAACAACAAATTGCTAAACACATAACCTTGTTCTACGCAAACAGCTGATCAATAGTCAAGATGAGATAAACCCAGTAATTGTTTGATCTGTCTGACTGAGCTACCTACCGCATAATTAGCACAGATACTGCGCCACTCATTTTGGCTTCAATCCTATCAGTGTGACAGGACCAGGTAAGCTGTTTATCCAGACTGACACCTAAAAGCTGGACCTGCCCTGAAGTCGTATCCAGACAAGACACCAACTTGTCTGTAAGCACTGCAACATAAGGAAGTGTGGTTCTGCCACTAAAGCAAACATTTCCTGACTGGATCCTGAAAGGATCAAACCACACTTTGAACTTTGAAGGTGAATCCGCTCCATTTTTGTTTTTTGGTTGTATTTTTTTAAGTTGTAATACTGCTAGGCTAGTAGTTAGCGAGTGTTTTACACACTGTCAGTCTCTTCCATGAAAATTAGGAGGGACCAGCAATCTGCTAGCAACCAAAGTGAATGTAAGGAATTTTCTAATGCAGCTCCCAATTCAATCAGTTTCAACAAATGTCACTTCCAAAAACTTAGAGGAACACAAATTTTCCCTAGCAACCAGAGGTTTCTGGGGATTGCCGACCGGTCTCGATCCCTTTGTGTCTGCAGGCTTAGCGGAATAACCGTAACTTAGCCACCAGCATCTACACTGAAAATATAAGCTTTAAGGTACTTCAGTTATAGTTCATTGTTCCTTATATTGAAATCAGCACTGACGTCACGCAAGAAAGCGTCACCATTTTTCATTTTACATCTAGCGGTTAATGTAACGAGGCATCAGTTTTCTATGCTAAGATAAAAAGATTTTGAGCTGCCGTCAAGGCCAGTGATAGAAGAATAACAGTTACCTGCTATAAAGGCTAAAACCGTTGGCTTTGAGAGGAAATTGTTTCTTTCCGACTAAAGTTAATAATATGACAACAGTTCAAAAGTGCAATCGGCTATATCCTTATTCATTTACCATCAAGGTTATGTAGCCCATTTGTGCAGAGAAACACGTTTTAACCTCCTCTATTTGTATTGCTTTCAAGTAAAGCCTAAAAATCATATACAATTCTTGATAAATTCTTCAGTTGGTTCAACAAAAAGTTTGCTATCCAAGTTATTCGCATCGTGGCTTTTATTGATTTCCATTTGTTTAAAAAACAGTTTATTTACATATTTATTTATTTACATACATAGTGGGTTTTGACACAATTAGACTCAATGAACAAAGATATATGTGCCTAACATGTCAGTAAAACTATTCTATAATACACTCCTATCATGCTTTAGTTAACTGAGCTTGTGTTTTCAGTCTTTCCAGATTTAGTTTCTAAAAATGAGGTGGTTTATTCTGTTATTCTCTCAGTTTTATTGCAGCATGCTTCATTTAGTTCAGCTCCACATCAAGCCACAGGGCTAAAGCGCTGCTCACAATAGGTTAGTGAGTTTTCTTATCGGTGCATGCTTGTCTAGAACAGTCTGTAAGATATCCAAGAACAAGCGTAATGTAATTTCTGAATCTTTCACTCGGTGTGTTCTTTTCCCCTGTGAATTTTTTACATCATAAGTCTTTGAAGCAGAATCTGTGACCTAATGATTCTGGTCATTGCTATTATATTATACTTACTAGATCCATTATTGTGCCATTAGTGTAGATGTGGTCAGTGCATGAGGCAGACATGAGTCTAGACATGCCAGAGCTTACTGTGGTAGGAATGATAAATATCTGAGTTAAATCACTCGCATTCTTTGTCATCTTTCTTTAAGAGTGCATGATGAAGAAATCCAGGCGATGTTTAAGTCCCCAAGAATCATTTCACTGCATTTCTCTCTGTTGATTTGTAGATTTGTGAAGCACAGCACATTCAAGCTAGCGGGATTTGATGTAATGTAGGTGACTAAAGCCAACAGGCTTCTGCAGCTGGAGTCATCAGATGTTTTCTCACATTCGCACAGATACCATAGCCTACTGGTATAGTTACTACAGAGTCATTAAGTATTCTTGTGAGAGAATAAAGTGCATAACGCTCAGTAAGTAAACCAACTTTAGGCTTAGAAACAAGTAGAACTTGATGAGCTACTTTTTTTCTCATCACAATTTTCCTCCTGCTCCGTTTCACGGTGGCACATAGATGGAAATAGTTTTAGGCTTCAACGAAAAATTTATTCCTTCCTCACTCAGTCCCTTTCTTCTGCCCCTTCACACACATTCCCTCTTTGCCAACTTTGCTGCAGCTGAAACAGTGCCGGCTGCATTTTGAACTTTCCTCCCACATTCGGTGCAGCCACGTTCATTCGCACACCACCTGACTGGGGGCTCCCCCCCCTTCCATTTTCAAAAGAAAGGTGTGCCGGGCACGTGCACTCACTTTACAAGTTTACCAACATTTTTGTGGTAACAACTGGGAAAAAAATGAGTAAAGGTGTCATGCTGTAATCACGGAGCAAATCATTACCATATGTGACTCATAACCCACACACACCTCGCCGTCATAAAAAATTTAAAGAACCTACTGTTCTCAACCCCTACTTCGATACTGCTACGGTATTCTGAAACTCACTTGTTTACTCCTCGATGTTTATAAAAGACTTCAGCAAGGCCTAATGGTGATCTCTAAGTATGATTTCATTATATCCAGCCTTTTGTTATCCCTTATGGTCCTTTGCTTTTTTTTCTATTGAGCAGTCTGACATCTTTTAAAATGTTGTACACGTGTGAATTTCGACTGGATATCTCAAAAGAAGCCTTTAAGATCATAGCTATTGTAGCTAAGCTCTTCCCCTGTGCTTTTTTCCTGCTGCTGAGGTAAAAAGGTCAGGTCTCAGCCTACTCACTTAATCTGTTCACATATGAGCTCAACCCAGAATTAAATCCAAGAAAATGCTGGAGATGAAATCCTAAATACGTCAAAAAATGGGGAGGAGAGAATATAAACATCCTGTATAAAATTCCATCAGCTTCTTTTAATAAATAAGATGTCTTTCCTATACCCCCCCATTGCTTTTATACTGATAATAATAATAAACATTTGTTCCAGCAAACAGCATTAGTGCCATAATCCCTTCCCACATTGTGACCTTAACTTTTGCATGTGATTGCGGGAACTGACGAGGATTTTAAGAAAAACATCCACTCCTGTTACATGATTCCCGAGCTCAAAACATTTCTCTGTATGGATCAGTACACTGCAGAAGCAGCTTTCACGGTTTTCACAATGAGGAAGGGGAGGAGGAGAAAGAAAGGCAGGAGGGTCCCTTTCTTCTCCCCCCAAACAAGAATTCCCGTGATTACTCCTTTAGTCAGTATTTGTTAACAAGATTAACAAGCACAAAGCTAGAAGCCACGGTTACCCAGAAGGCCAGAGCTTCATTAGCAACAAATTGGACGCTGACTTTGTGAACTCATTGAAGAATAGAAATGTTTCTACTGGACTTGCAGGCACAAGAAAATGTCAGATTCCTGCAAACAATTGGAGTAGCACCAAGCCCATTGTTTCTGGGGACTAATTTATCTGCAACAACAAGACTAAACTGTCACATTCCTGTAAATGAGCATCAGTGATTTCTTTATTAAGACTGATATCCTTGACTGCTTTGTATAGTGCCTTTCCCGTTGCAGGGAGCTGAGCGCAAACAGTAAATAAGGATAGAGAAATAGTCTGACCATTTAGTAATGAAAGCTTATGATCCTAAACAGAATGGTTGAAATGGGAGAAGTGGGTAGGGTAATGATGTGACTCTAATAATAACTAACTGTTAGATTGTATTAAATACTACAAGCAGAAGCAATATCCCTGATTTACATATCTATTGCAGGACTTTTAATCATTAGTCATGTGCATCTTGGGGACTCTAACAAGTCTGTCCATACTGGTCCAGCAATGCATGGGTCAGACATTCGTATCGACCAATATCGGCCTCGCTAACTGCAATTATCTGTCTACTACCACCCTGGCTGATATTTAACAAAACAGCTTTGTTCTGGCCAAATGTTCAACGATATTGTGGTAAATAGCTTAAAATTTTTGTCTTTGTTTGCTTGTTGGGAACCAAGAGGGGAAAATATAACAAGAAAAAAACAGCACTCCAATATCAGCTCAGTACCGGTGCAAATGTTCACAAATATTCAGTCCTTTGTGCTCACTATATCATTAAGGAAACCTTTATCAAAGGACCCACTGTAGCAAACTGTGTTGTAGATAAACAGACAGCCTTAATGAATAGTTAACAAGTGCCTACGGTGCTTTTTCAGTTAAGTGCCTGTAACTCATTAGAATGCTGGTGCTTTGGAAAACTAGAGATTTCAACAGGATGTAAGGAGCAATTTCAGAGTAAGAGAAGAAAATAATAATTCAAAAATAAGAATGCAGCAATGAGCATACTTTACATGTGCTGGTGGGGCACTTGTTTTATTCATTACTGTGTTTAGTGTTCCACTGGGGATTTAAGTTATTCCACTTTTTTCTAAAGTGATATACATATTAAAATAAACATCCTGTAAATTAATATAAAGTTGATGTTAAAATGTTTATTATAGTAATTGTGCTTTAAATGGCACTTCCACAGCTCTAATTTCCACTTTTAAAAGAATTCCTATAATTATAAACCAAATGTGCATCAAGATTCTCTACTCCTGTCCACCAGCTCACTTGTGGCTTCAGCTCCAGCCCACCTGAGCAGAGAGATACTGCTCAGATAGTACTTACTCACCCACTTTGAACTGGGATGTTTGGTCTTCAGGGTCTGTGTGCTCCTTCACCAGCATCATGTGCAGGATCCCGAAGGAGTTGTGAATTCCGAAGATTGACCCGTTGCACCAGGTTGCAGCAAAAACCACCAGCCAGCCAGCGAAACCACCTTCGGGTGGGACGAAGCCAGCTCCGTGGCCGGGCGTCTCTACCTGCACCCTAGCCTCGAAGTCGGAACCCGGCGTGAGGGGTGGCTTGCAGCCGGTCTCGATCAGCTGCGTATTGCTGTCCTCCTTCACGATTTTACCCTCGCTGCCGTCCGCCTGGTCATGCTTTCTCGTGTCTAGGTCTTGAGGGGCATCCCTCTGCTCCATCTGAGGACCTGGAGCCGGCTGTTCCGTCCGTGACTCTCCGTCGGACGGCTGCGCTTGGTTGTCTAGCCCGTTGGTCCCCATGCTGTCTGATCTGGCGGAGAGGCTACTGTGGGCTTTTGGCGCACATGCATGAGATATAGGTCGCTGACATAAGAGCACCGATTTGAATAACAGCTTTGATTGGTTATCTGTCAAACGTGAAAGACGGATGGTGTTTTTCCTGGCACACAAGCTTCCTACACGCTGCTCGCAGCCCCAACTTCAGCGAATAAACTCCAACCTGCAAACATAGCGTGTGTCATTCTGGCCGGAGGTCTATATTTCCAGGAATTAGCTCGCACCGCCTATCCTTCCTTTTAATGCAAGCCTGCCTAACCGCCTATAAAGACTAACACCATGTATTTACTTGTGTTGGCTCTTCTCCTCGGTGCCGAAAGAGGATCATCAACCTGCGAAAACGTCCGCTCCGCCTCGACTCCGTGTAGCCCCGTCGCGCAGTTCCCGCGCTATCATCAACATTTCCCGATGTTAAATGCAAGAATTAGACGCTTCTTCTTATCTTTACAAGGTGGACATGTAACGTAGGTAGGCCTGTGCATGTCCCGTAGGCTGTAGCGGTTCTCAAGTGTCAACACACACCGAGCCGTCATTCAGCAAATCCACACACCCCTCCTCCTCGACCACCTCCTTTCCCCGGCGGACGGACAGTTGGAGCCAATGGTGGAGCTTCAGTACAGTTACAGTAGAACGAGTTTGCACTTCGTGGCTTTTCGCGGAAAAACCCGAGTGTGGCTTGCTTTTCCTCTCTTGTGTCGGATTAGTAACAACATCCTGTGGCTAATGCAAACATCCGTTTCAGCGCATTTTCCTCTATAATCTAATCTAATCTAGTATAACATAATATAACATAATATAACATACTGTGTATTATATCGACACATCAAGAGATATATCTACTTTTGTAATTTTTGCAAATTTTAAATTTAATTTTTGTAACAAGTCTTGTTCGTTTGATTAAGTGACCTAATATCTAAAATAAATAATATTAATTATAATTTTAAAAAATACGTCTTAGCTTTATTAAAGTTGTAAATAGCTCTAAACTATCAATTGAATTTTTAGATTAAAAATGTTTTTACATCATTGTGGCAGACGTCAGGAACGTTATCTGCTTACTAACTCTCTGGATTGTATGGATATGGAGAAAGGAAAAAATATCATCCAAAAAATCTAAATACGGGATTAAAATCTAAAAAAAAAAAAAATCGATTTACTAACTCGAAATTTGAAGATATTTTCTCAATTTAGATTGATTTTCTCACACGTTTGGGTTAGTAAGCTGATCATTTAAGACACCTAACTCACAATTTTGACATAATGACTTATTCAGTTGAGACGTATAGTTTTAATATGTTGGTGGCAAGAAATCTTTATTATTTAATTCATGGATTTATTTATTTCAGTGGCATAAGTAAGGTTTTAGTATAGGGTATTGTGGGAAAAAAGACAGCAGAACTTTACCATCTATGGTGTTAACGGTTTGAAGGGTCAGGAAGCAGCAATAACGAGGATTCACCACTATGTGGAGCTACAAATCAGTGTGAAGGTCTCTTATTAAAAAGATTAGACTTTTACATGAACAGATGCATAAATTCCAGTGGCTGTGAAGACAAACTGCATGATATTTTAACATATGTACAGACAGGTTTTGTTGTCTGATATCACAGCAGAAACCGCAAGTGTAAAAAATATCATGATTGATGGTTTAATTCCTGCTTCAGCTTTGAGGACTTAGGACTGATCTTAATGTTCAGCATTAACCTGATCAGTAACATCTGCGCTTTTCCTACTGTGATGGCAAGTGAAAACAGTCTTGGTAGGTTTGTCATTAAGTTTATTTATAATGCAACTGAACAGCAAAGATAAAATGTTTATGCTACTGGCTGCACTCAGAAAGAGAAAACTAGAAAATCCTTCACTGATGTTTGGTAATTTTGAGATATTTTGATAAGCCTCTAAGTCACTATTCTGTGGTGTTGATATACATTGTGATCTACACACTATTTATACTGCCAGTGTGCCAAATTTCTATTCGTAGCCTGGTATTCTAAAACATTCTGCTCAATGTCATCAAAGACTCTGGGAAGTACTCGTGCTGAGGGTGTCACAGCACCCCCTGGCCAACTGTACAGGACCTGTATGTCAATTAAATACTGAAAATGAATAATTAATACTAGAAAGAATAGGTTTTTATGTCATTTCCTTCATTATTTTTTAAAATTGTAGTAAATTAGCTCTTAGGTTACTCAGGTTCAGTTGTGTCTGAAGCTGTGAGGTCACCAGACATGCAACCGGGAACCCAGCAGCACAATATAAAGGCTATGCAAAACTGCTTGGTAGATGTCCTCATCAATCCTTGAAAAATAACAAAATCTAGCAGATTATCAGAATCAACAACATACTCCTACAGCCTTAATGGTGACAGTGAAAGCATGTTGGCTGTTTTTATTATCCTTTCTTTATCTAGGACAAAGTCTGATAGCAGTTAAAATATCTTTTTCAAAAAAGACCTGGCCAAGAGAGCAGCATCAGTTACAAAAAATGCAAGTGATGAAAAAACTCCAACCGATATTCAGCAGACAGACAAGTGAACACAGACGGATCATTATTCCAGGAAACAGGGACAGTGCATTTGTTTCCAAATTTTTTGTATCTAATCTCTTTAGATACTGGCCTGGTGCATTCATAAAGATAACCATAATCCAATAAAAGTAAGAATGTTACAGGGTTGAATGTTTCATTACTTGGTTAGAGAAATAAGATTTATTTCCTAGAAAAAAAAACTGAAAGCAAGTTTCAGCTTGGACACAAGCCTTTCAATGGGACACATAAACTCAGGTAAGGAACTAACTAGCCTATGAGTCCATAAAGAAATGCAGAGCACAGAGGGCACAACTGTGATGGAGGACACAACAAAGAACACAGGCACAACCCTCTATTCTGAGGGTTTAAATACACAAGAGAGGTCAGCTGTGGGGCTGAGAGGCAGTTTGAACACACCTGGGAAGAAACATGACACAATATAACTCATATCAAACTAATGAGGCAAGGAAAACTGAACATGGTGCACATGAGACGAGAGACTAGCAGAATAAAACAGGACGCCTTAACTTTGAGACAGAGACATGGACAAAGACACACAAACTGGACATTGGTAAAGAGACATGACTGACTACACACAAGGGACCGTGGGGAGGACACACAAAGAAGAAACAGGCGAAAGGGAACAATAGTAAACAAAGAATTGAGAACTAGAAACATTTGTTACAAGCACTGTTTCTATTGTATAGCACTTTTCAGCATTGAAAAAACGTGCTTTGCAGAACAGGATGTAAAGGTTCACAATGAAAAATATACTGAGAGTAGAAATATAGAGTATAAAACTGTACACACAAATAGAACAAAGTGTAAAGTCTGTCAAAAATAAAATGTTATGGTTAAAGAAAGGCTTTAAACTTAAGTAGGTCAGCCTGGAACCAGTACTGAGGAGAAACCTTGGGTTGTTCTTGTTTTCTTAATCAGTGATGAACAGTAAGATGGTCCCAGCTTCATGGAGGGCTTTTTATAGAGCAACAAACTCTTTTTACCATACTAAATGAAGACCTTCTAAATTAGTGAGACATTATTTTCTCTCCAGCTTACAGTTTATCAGCTTTAAGGTGTGCATTTGAGAGTTATACCAAGTAGGCAAGCACTTGTTATTTGACTTTGAAAAAGAAAGCGTCAAATAACAAATTTGACGCTTTCTTTTTCAGAAGAAACACAGTATCCAGTTTCATATGCAATAAGTATGTAACACTATCAATATGATAACCTACCTCTGTGGAAGTAGAGGTTGTGTTGCTGTTCTGCAATGTATTGACACATAGTATTTTGGAAAGTAACAGTGAAGGAATTTTATCCTGCAATTCCCCTGACTGGGCACATCCAATTCTGAGCACTTGTTTCTGATAAAAGATCTTCAGTTCTTTTCAAAAGTTACAGAAAGCGTATCATTTCCCCACGCATATCTCAGCTGAAAGTTTTTTTTAATAAAGTCAAGGTCTTTGCAAAGTAATTAAGATTTTTTTTGTCCTTAAAGATTAAAAATGTTGTGAAACATAAAAGGTACTTTGCCCGCTTTAGCACATTAAAGGTTAAGAACAAAATGAGGTTTCGTTCATTTCTCTCCAGCATCTCACAATGGGGGCTACAAGAGGTGGAAGGGGTCTTTAATAAATACACATCTGAGCTTAAAAAAATCTGTGCAAACTGCAAGGTCACGGATGGCCAGTTAGAAAGCTTGCTAAATAAAAAGAAAATTGTAGTGCACGAAGGGGAAAAAAAGAGTAAAAAGAGGGGGTGGGTGGAGGCCATGAAGGCAGAGAATGATGAGGGGTGTAGATGAGGAGGAGAGAGTCAGAGAAAAAGCTTTGACTGAGAACAGTTGAGAGCACAAGTGAGAGCAGCCATAGTGGAAACAAAGTACTTCAGACTTGAGACGCCCACCAGCATTGAGCAGGTACTGTAGACCCATTTCAGTATTTTCTTTTTTTCACTTTATAGCTCCATGTTTTACTTTTAGAGGTTTAGTCATAAATATTATCTTTTAACTGCATTACAAATATTCTCTGAGTTTTATAATTAATTTTATAAACTGACCAGACTGAAAATCAGTCAGCTTTTTGTCTGTTTTGGGTTCCCACAGAAGTCGCCTGGCTTTCTTCCAAGTACAAATGTGTTTGCAGGACTGGACATTGCAGATGTATGAGTATACTCAAGAGCATTTATGAGCTGTAAACTTAGGCAAACTACATCCCAGTGCCTCAAATCCAGCCAAAGAACTTTATTTTGTGTGTCACCACACTTTTGTCTTTCTCTCTTTTGATACAGTGAAATGCCAAAACAGAGAGCAAATGTTAAAGTCTCACTGTCATCCTTGGTACCGCTGCAGAGCCTCTGCTTTTTTCATTAATCAGAAATTACAACCAAATTCAGTAACAAGTTCTGAAAGATATTAGACAGGAATATTTTAAATATATCAATCAGTATGTTTATAGTTGTAAAGTGACCAGTGACCATATTTATTCTTTTCATTTCTTTTCACAGAGATGACCTCATTTTGCAGGAACCTGGTGGCACTTGTCTTTCTTGTCTTGCCTCCCATGCATTCCCATTTCTTCACCAATGCTGCGTCTGCTTCCCCACCCATCACTCGTCCACAGATCATACACATGACTGACATGGGCTCAGAAGGCCAGGATGATTATGACTTTAATAAGGAGGAATATGACACAACCACAGCTTCTCCTAGGATGGTGTCCTTCCCAAAGATGGACCTAGAACCTCTGCTCTGCGAGTACGACCCCTGCTCGGAGAACCAGGTTCCCTGTGCTGCACTTTCAGAGCAAATTGGGTGCCTCTGCCCTGGGATGAGTGGAGCTAATGTGCCTCCTCATCCACCACGTATCCAAGCGCTGGTGCCAGTCAGTGCGGGGAGTGACAGAGGGGAAATACAGGTGCAGTGTTGTGCTCCATCTTCAGTGGTATCTGAGTACAGAACAGTCGTTGAGGGAAGGGACAGTGAAGTCCCAAAGTTTGGGGATGCGTCACGGCGGGGTTTGGTCAGATCTTTGGAAGTGGGAACTAAAGTGTGTGTGGTGGCAGTGAACAACGCAGGAAGCAGCGATCCTTCAGAGTTTTCATGTAAGCGGTATGAATGTCGTCAATCTCCTGTCCTCACAGTGATGGCCTGGATTATAGGAGGTTTATTCGCTCTCCCTTTACTGGTTGTTATAGGGACTCTGATCTGTGGGACATATGAGAAGTTTCGAAAAGGAAAGAGAGACTCTACTGATGAACTTACTAAAGTACAGTTTGAACACTGCAGTTCTGTAGTGGTGTAATCAGTGACTGTAGAATTTAAATGTTATTTCAATTCCCTCAAAGAATGTGTAAATACGATTATAACAATGTACATGTAAAACGTAACGAGAACAAATAGTTTATAGTGCTCTTTTGCAGTCACCATGATTTTATTTGCCGGCAAATTAACCTCTGTAGATTGTTTATTTTTTAATATATCAGAAACAGAATGTAAAGTAAATATTATTTTTAGAAGACTGATTGATTGTTTTTGTAATAAAATGATTTAAATAGGAACTATGTTTGTGTCAACTTGATCTTTTTTGCGACCATTAAAAGGTTTGTGCTCACTGCATATGATCCTTTATGCATATCACACTCGTAATTTTACTCGCACAAAACACTTAAACGTAAAATATTTAAACCACATACTTTACTCTGTGAAAAAATATTCAACATATGCATTTATTTAAATACCTTTTACTTCCTTTTACTTTGAAGAGTGACAAATTGATTTGTTTGGCTAAGCGATGAAGTCTCGCCGACTAAGCCCCGCCCTTCAACGGTATGCGAGCCAATGAGACAGCACCAAACAAATGTATCAGGAAGAAGATCCAGTATTGTTATACCGTTTGTGATTGTCGATGACTTTCATATTTCTAATTTTATCCAACAACCAGTATGGCGAACACAGGTGAGTCTTTTTAAGCCCACTCTTACAGATACGGTTAACGTATGTGAACTATAGAAGGCTACTGTCTGAATTTGTTGAATGAACTGAAACATGTCAAACGTAATGAGTAAAAGACGACTATTTTTAATTGTGACAACCCAAAACTATAGCAGCTTAAGAAGCATTACCGTGTTTTCATAAAAAAAATATTTATATGTTTTCATACACTTTGGTGAACTGTTTCCATAGGCTGTATTTCTCTTTCTAATATTTACAGAAAGGAAAAATTGTAGCATGACTCAGCAAACAGTAAAGAGATTAAAGTGGAGGCACCAGTCTCCTTGAGGACTGTACTCGGTTACTCTAGCAACAAACAACAAACTGATAATTATCTGCATACCATAACCTGTTGCATCAGTCCAGTGTACCTTTAGTCATATCTTACCGTCTAACACTCTTCACACGATCTGATAAAAGCAAGTACGCCTGCCTTTATGGAAAATCTGCCTGTAAGGAATGTACTATGAAAGTGGAGTTTGATGTCAAGTTCTGCTTTTAGGGAGTCTTTAAAGGTTTTTGTTTTTTTTCCTGCTTGAACTAGAAGCCAAATTGAGAAACTAATTACAATATGTGGCAGCTTAGTCTGGCGTGTTCTTCTTTTGATATCTGAACTCAATACTCTGCTTATGTCACGGCCTTTTATGTTCCAAACACCCAAAAAGTCCAAGAAAAGGTGGGTGGCAACGGGAGGTTTGTTTTAGAACACACTTCTGACTTCATTGTTTAAAATTAAATGGTATTTATTTCGTGGAAAATTATTAACAAAAATCAACCAAATAAATTCTTAAAACTTAAAATTAAATTAAAGTTAACTTAAATTGCTTTAACAACTTCAAAAGTGGTCAAAAAAAACCTTTTTTTAAACCCTCCTGACATTTGACTAACAAAAAACATCTTTACCACACCCCTCCAGGGTGCTATTAATCACTTGATTAATGGGAGGGTCCATAAGCTAATAAACCAATCACTTTCCAAAAATAAAATTAATTACGAATTTACATAACAAAAACTAGGTCTGCATATTCTTACAACTTTAAAGAAAAAGAAAAATATAACCTGCTGTTACATTACCATTCGAATGTAGCAGCAGAAATTAAGACCAGGCAATGTTTCTGCAATCTTCTATTTTCCAAATACGCTGCCATGTGATTGGCTGATTAAGTATTTCAGAGGATAAACAGCTGAGCAGGTGTACCTAACAAAATAGCATGGGCATGTACATGTAATTATGATGTACAGGTTGTTGTGGCACTAACAACAGAGCCAAGATAGTGTTTGGATCACTACATGACGCTCTACATATGTCATGTTAGCATTGATATCTGTGCGGTTAGCATTGGTACATCCTTCCTTGTCAGTGTGTTTGCATGGACCTTTTTGGGCAGTTAGAGCAGGTGTCATATTTCATCTGACCCTTCACATGAACAGCAATTTGTTTTCTTTGACGAGGATCATCAATAATGCATTCTTGTGTCAGGATGATTTGTGACATGAAACCTGTATTTGAGGAGTAATTGGTGTAGTTTTATTTAATCTGATGAAAGGTTATCATACTGTTTCTTGTGTTTCCTCCTATGTTTTCAGGTACCAAGGAAATCTCCTATGAGGAATTGAAGGCTCTTGTGGGAAAGAGCCCGAATCTCATTCTGATTGATGTCCGCAGTGAAGAGGAGGTGGCAAAAGGACATATTCCAGGATCCATTAATATTCCACGTCTGTCAAGTTTGTTTTATTTAGCATTTTGCGCATATATATATATATATATATGTGTGTGTATGTGTGTGTATGTATATATAATATATACACACACACACACATAGATCCTTTGCATGTGTGCTGTGGTGAATGTGGTTTATCAGGTTCTGGCAGTTATGTACTTGTTGTTCATGTTTTCTATCTTTGTCTCTTTTTTCATTCCTCCAGTTAATACAGTAGAGGGCGCTCTTAAAATGAATCCAGATGAATTCAAGGTTAGGTACGGAGTAACAAAGCCACTGCTGGATGCACCAGAGCTGGTTTTTCACTGCCAGATTGGCAAGCGAGGGGCAATGGCTACCACCAAGGCTCATCAGCTAGGATACGTGAAGTAAATAAGTCACTACCTATACAACAAAATACACATATATACATACATACATGCATACACAAGGCCCAACAAAAACTCCAAGTGTCCTTTAATTATACAAAGTCAAGTTCTTTTTTTTATGAAGACATTTTTTTCATATTATTGAAAAAGTGCTGCTTTTTACTGCATTTACTTGACGTAATAAAGACAGTTTTCATCTTTTATGTCTCTGTTCTCTGTTTCAGTGCACGTAATTATGCTGGTGCATACAGCGAGTGGTCGAAGAAAGAAGGAAAATGATGCTAAAGGAGAGTTTCATATTTATTTATGAAAACAGGAAGCATAAAATAAATATTGGTATTTTTCAGACTGTACACTGAATTTTATATTAATGAATAAATACATATAAATAAATAAACTTTTGTGTCATGCTGTAAGACCATGAAAATATTGGAAGTTCATAAAACATGTGACAACATCCTTGATATTCCTGAGGTATTTTAACAATCACTAGTTTGCTCAAGGTTTATAAAGGAGCTCTAGCTTTTTGCTAGTGAAGCAGTGTGACATCTTTTTAAATGTTTTACACGTGTGAATTTAGAGTGCATAGCTCAAAAAGACCTAACAAGTCTCCGATTCTTAGCTTTGTACCACACAACTTCTTGTAGTGTATGAAATTAATGTGCATGGACATTAAAAAGTGTCGAAATGATGCCTTCTCTTCCCCCTCTTACTGCTTTCACACTGGTAATAATGAAGTCTCATATTTGTTCCAGCAGCAGCGTTAGAGCTACAGTATAACACTTCCCACATCATGACCTTAACTTTCTTTGTGATTGTGGGACCTAACTAGGAATTTTTAATCCCTTATTAAAATAAAAAAGAAAGAAGGAAACATAAGTTATATATGTAAGCTGTAAACTGTCGGTTGAATTTTGTAAAATTTGTTGTTCATATCAAAAAAACAAAAGTATTTAAAAAATGTAGTTTGTATAGTATTTCTACCTTATTTTCTCAAAATTTTTACCTTGGTACATTTAAATTTTGAGATAATAACTAATAATTTATAAGTTACAGATGACAATAAATGTTTATTTTATCTCATTTTACTTTATCATTTCTTTTTTTTTTAGTGGCAGAAAAATATTTATTTTTCCAAACATAAGTGATTGGAAAAGAAAAGGTGGGAAAAAGAAGAAAGATTTAATAATGAACATTCACCACTAAGAGGAGCTACAACTCAGTGTAAAGGTCTCAAAGCGGGAACCATCGGTAGAGATGTTTATGCTGTTGGCTACTATCCAGACAGTGTAAATGAGAGGCTCCCACATTGCCTTTTGGTAGTTTTGAGATGTTTTGATAATAATCTCTCAGCCACTACTACATGATTCACAGTCTGGTATTTTCAAGAATTCTGCTCCTCATCAGGCATGTGAGGATGTCCCAGCACCTCCTGGCAAATATTAAAGGATATGTATGTCAATCAGCCACTGAAAAATATATAATAAATACCACCAATCATAAGTCTGTGTCATTTCCAGTGTTATGTTTTTTCTTCTATTTAATTACATTCCATTCTATATTCTTTCATTTTTAATAGTGAATAAAGTGCCTTGCAGTGTGAGCAACAGACTTGCAAACAGGAGCCAGGCTGCAGAAGAAAAAAAGTGCTTTTCACATTTCTTATAGCAACATCTGGCAGATTATCAGAATCAACAAGCTGCTCTATTGGTAGTAATGATGACAGCGAAAGCATGTTTGCTATTTTTACTATCCTTGATTTATTATCATTTATTAATTTATTATACAGGTAAAAGTTTCATCGCGATTAAAAGTTCCAATCCAGGTATTCAGCGCAGACTAATGAACACAAACCACATATGTAATGCAGATCATTACAAGAGCAGCTTTAAAAATATAGTCACACTGACCAAGAGACCTATTCTATTGTCTATTGCTCCAATAAGAAGAACTTAAAGTCTCCCCTGTCGTAATCACTACAGCTCCTTCTGTAGATTATTCCAAGAAACAGGGACCCAGGTCTTTCCAAGTAAATTTTAATTTGCACATTCTGTTCTATAGTGATACCTAAATACTTGGATTTGCATCCATTTAACACTAGCTAAAGTTAAATAAGACTTAATAACATCATAGGAAGACTGCAGAAATTCAAGCATTTGTACTACTGGTGGAGATGAACAATAGATAATTGTTTCATGCGCATTAAAATCGAGTGCAGTGTTTGATAAATTATCACAAAGGTTATTTGTATGTCCATGATATGCCACAAATATCCTGGACATAATAATGTTTAGGTTCCCCTGATAAAGAGTAAGGTGCAGTTTTTTCTTTGCCTGCTTTAATGGTATTTTTTAAATGTACATTTTACATCTATATGGTTCTTATTAAACTTTATTGCTATGGATTCTCTGTTATCAGCACATTTTATGTTGAGATTTCACATCATGTCACACATTTGTTGATATGTTCAAAGAAAATATGCAGTTTATTAGTTTGCATCATTAAAAGGCCAAAAAGGTTCTCTTTCCCTTTTCTGAGAACAATTAAGACTTTAATAATCAAAAAAAAAAAAGAGGAAACGTGTTTGGAGCAACTCTTCTTCGGGTATGGTCCAAAAATATTAAAAGTTTGTGAAGTGACTCGTTTCATTGCTTCCTTTATTAAATCCCTTAGCATATTACACACTGGGAGCATCTTTTATGAAATGAGAGGAGACAAAGTAGTCCCATATATCACTGAAATAAATCTTTCAATTATTCATGAACCACAATAGTTTACATTTTCAACAACAGGCTGTTATATGCATAGCTGAACTCTGATCATCAAACTTGCTGATGGATGAATTTTTTCCACAAACACATATTTATATTAGTGCTGTAAATCTAGATTATGAGTTCTATTAATTCATCAAGGTGAGTTCAAGGTTCTTTATAATTATTTTTTTTATTGTTTAGGTCTATTGCCTTTAGGATAATGATTGGTTAGGTTTTACTTTGATTGAGCTGGGAGTGATGGATGGGGGTAATTTCACTTCACTTCTTTTACTTTAGTTATCATGGATATCTTAAACAAAGAGGAGGAAATGAGGTAGACTAGATCACATCGTCAGTTCATTTCAGCAATACTGAGTATTCTACTAAGAGCAGCACAAATTAGCAGTTCACCCAGTGAGTGTGCAAGAGGGAGGGGGTGATATAGGTCTACTAACCAAAATAATACACAACAAGGTAAGTTAGATCAATGAGAAGAGTCTGAACGACATCAAACAATATTTCAGATAGGAAGGATATCTCTTCTGATAGAAATTACTGGGCACTGTGAGAGGGGTCATGAGGAATGAGACTGGAGAACAGGATTCATCCAGAGGAGAGCTGTGTTAGTGCAAATTATCATCATTAATATTACAAAGAACAGTAATTATTTATCATCAGATTGGATCTTAGTGAAAGTACTGATGCTGTTTTTTTTGTTTTGCATTCAGACATTAATCATACATGTTCACATAGTACAAAACAAAAGCCGCATTTGACAGTTAAATAAAGAAACATCACTCATTGTGTGCGCACTGCTGAGAAAAAGGGAGCCCGGTTCAGTTAGTTTCTAGTTTGTTTCATGAAAGTACCAGTATTATTGGGAAACAGACATAATTGGGCTTGACTCAACTTTCAGCCATCCATCCAACGTTCCAATCACCTACTGATTCTGATAACATCTCCGCCTCTCATTTCAAATTAAAAAACACTGCTAGAAGGACAGAACCACAACAGGCTTTCACCTGGGCTATCTATCTTAAATCCAGTAGCCTTTTAATGCTAAAAGAAGGCTTTGTGCTGCAACAAACTCTAAATCTGGCCCTCTTTGTTTCTTCTTCTTTAAAATTCCGACCTTTGAAGTTAAAACCGTTGTCTTTTACATGACCTGCATATAACAAGAAGTTAACAACATGTTGTGAATTAAGATGCTCGTTTTGCATTTCATTGTAGTTTTGACACTGCAGGCATCTTGAATTACATTGTTAAGGAGACTAGTTTGGATTCTCATTGCATCACTCTTCTCTTTATCTGAGTCTTCATGACATATTGACCTTGTTGACATTTTTATCAAGGCCAAGGAAAGGCGGGTAGGATGAAGAAAACGCGAAGGACTTTTAGAATGTAACCTCAGTTTTATGTAGGAAACAGGTGTGGCTGACAGGTCTTATCGGAAACATGCCTGTTGGAACTTGGCTAATGGCTTTTAAAAGGGGCTCTGTGCTAAAATACTTTCCCTTCCCTCCGGCACGCTCTCATCTGCTGGGGAGAAGAGTGGCTGGTTTGGGTTTTGTTTGCTTTTGGTAAACTTCCTTTCCTTCAGATACATTCATCATATACCTGCTTTCTACTGACAGCAATTCCACATGTCTACGAGCTTAATTTAATAAAATACATGCTTGTTTATTTAAGCCCCCTGTCTGTCTGGTGTCTGTATTTTGTCTGAGATTTGATCCGGTTCATGACACATAAATAATTAATAAAATACGCATAGGTATTGTAAGTTCATTGGGGAATCAAATTAATAACAATACTAATTTTTTTATTTGTATAGCACCATTCAAAATTGAAAAAAGTTATTTACAGAGGGGAAAAAATTAAAAGGTTCATATAAGCTACATGAAAATAAAAAAAAAAAAAAAATAGAGCGTAAAATTTTACACACATTCAAGTTTTTTAAGAGAGAGGGAAAAAAGGGAAAGGGAAAAAGAAAATAGAAATAAAGCCCTCTGTGTGATTTAAAAGGCCAATAAAACAAAACAAATCCAATTCAAATTTATAATTCACTCTATTGTGGCCAGATTTAGGAATGTGGGACCTCGTCATCACATATTACTGCTACATTACACTTCTGTTTCCAATTATCCTCTGGAGGATCACTGGGACTTCACGCTGACTGGGACTGCATTCTGGTTCCACGGCTATTTTAAGCTGAAAGTAGCGGTTCACACAACATCACAGAGTCTGGTAATAACCCTACCACGAGATTCCTTTTGAGTGAAGTGGGAGGTCAAAGGTGATTGGGATTTAGCCAATAGCAGTGCTTCCTGTTTAAACAGAAATAGCTTAAATCCTCAGAGACGTATGGACTATGAGAGGGACTGGAGAATGAGTTTGATTAAGTCGCGCCAAATCAATCAGAAACTGAATACGTGAATGGGAAACTAAAGGGATGTTATTTTGATTCAATAAACATATGTTAGAGGAGATTCCCTATTTAATGAATAATTGTTGTTTTATTCAGGAAAATAATCAATAAAATAATTCCATATCAGTAGGGATTTTTTTTAACCACTACTACACCACAAGTTTAAACCATGGAGTTGTCTATGTGGTCATGGCTGTGTGTCACATACAGCAACA